TGGATTGAAATGACCAATTTATTATTTTTTTTTCTTGAGGGTTTACTATCAGGTGTGTGGAGTAAGAAAACTTGTCACCCCCTCCGGGAATCAAACCCAGGTCTCTCGCTTGCCAGGCGAGTGCTCTAACCACTGAGCTATGGGACTCCACAAATGCCAACAAGCTTCAGTTCAGAAGGGACCTTTGTGGAAGTTTAATGGGTCATGGGATTGAAAATGTAAACCCAGAACAATACTTTAGGATGCACTGATTGCAGGATATGGGTTTAGAGGCAAAGGGCAATTTCATGACAGATATCAGGAAGATTTTCTTTTCCCAGAGGAACAGGTTGCCAAGGAAGGGTAGTTGAGGCAGGTCACTGGACCCATTAAAAAAAAGCTTGATTCTGTGATGGGAGGATGAGTAACTGAAAGGAGAACCCGGGTTCGATTCCCAGGCAGGGTGAAATGTTGGGCAAGTTTCCTTACTCCACGGACCTCTGTTTTCTTAGCAGTAAGTAGGAACCCAGTTGTTATCGATTGGCGGATCACTTTTCCTGGGGTAATAATCCCTTCAAAAGAAATAATTTGGTCACTCGATCCGTGACTGTTTGTGCAACACTGCTGTGCGCAATTTGCTGCCGCGATTCGCCCATAAAATACAGTCACTACACTTTACAGTAAATTCTGTGAAGACGTGATCAGGCGCTATATCGAATGCAAGGATTATTATTATACGGGCCAAAGGGACTTTAATCTAAACTACTCTTGAACCTATGTGTGGTGTTAAATTAGGACTCAAAATGAATAGTTGAAATTGAAAAAAAAACCTCCAACAAAGTGAGAATGAGACATCTGATCAATGCTAAACCACATTGCACCATCCAGTGGTGGTGAGAAAAGGTGCAAAATAGAGACAGGTTGTTTTATTTTTCTTTAAATACACCTAATTTTGATGCACACGTTCATGAAACATATACCTCTCTCTCCATTGTTTTAGAGCCATCCACGATACAAGAGACATTCTTGGACTTTTTCTTTTAAGATGAAGGTGTGAAGAACTTGGGAGACTTGGGAGAAAAATATTGTTCAACTGGTCTCTTACCTTCATATATGCCCTTCTTCATGGTCTCTTTCCTCACAGCTCTGTCAAGAGTTGGTGACCATCAGAGAGGATTATTTTTTCCCCTTCTTCCCCCGGGCTCGGCTACTGATGGGGGAGAGGAGGGCATGGGGGATGAACAGGCGGCCAGAACCGGCTGAGTGGAGGAGGCGAGTGGCGGAGTGGGGGGTAAGTAGGTCGGAGAGGTTACGGGGGAATTAGCCCCACATTCCAGCAAAGCCACTCCTCCAACAACCAAATCCTATGACAACTCAACCCGGTGACAACACTTACCCACCACAACAAACATCCAGACGGACCTCAATGTTGGTTTCAAGAATTTCAGACCATAACAGCTCACCTTCCCCCTCCCCCTCTTCTGTGACCATTACCACATCCTCTGCGTCCCAGACACAGCGTTTCTCTCTCTGCTCTGGCTGTTTTGTTACAATTCCCCACCCCACCACCTCCCTTTATTTTTTATTATTAACACCTCTTTAACCCATTATCCCACCCCCCACCCCATTTTCTCCTTTGTCTTCCTTGCCCTTCCTCCCCCCTCTCTGTTAAAAGCCTCTCCCTCCCAACATGCCCCAGTTCTAACGAAGGGTCGTGGACCCAAAACATTGACTCACTTTCCTCTCTCCATTGATGCTGCCTGACCTGCTGAGCGTTCCCAGTGACTTTTGTTTTTTGTATCCAGACTGATTGACGGAGAGAGAGCACATTCCATTCCAACAATCTCTCTGTGGGATTTCCATGTGAAGGTGGGATACATGGAAGCCTCAGCTTGGTTTGGATGCTCTTGAGCAACAGTGATAGGTTTCCACATGTCAGACACCCCACTGCCTAAAAATAAGAGGGAGGGGGGGAAAAGACTAATGATTTGACATGTATGGCAACCAATAGTAGAGTGACTTGAACTGTGATACACTGGGACCGTTGGCTACACGTCACTCAACCTCAATGGATCGTTCCAACAATAACTTGCATTTACCTCGTGCCAGTCACGCAGGTTAGCACCCCAGAGCGCTCGACAGTGGTGGAGCACGATGCTCCCTGGGCAATCGGTGGCTAGTTTTGTGACAAAGGGAGAAAAACGTGCCATTTCCCCCACAAGACAAAGTGACGGCAGCAATGGAGCTTCAGCAACACCCAGCAGCCAAACACACAAAGTTTTAATTAAAACTCGAATTGACAAAGGAGCAGCTCCAGCGATGCTCCTCAGCCTCAGGGAACTTGGTGGTGAAGCCAATGTTGTGGCTTAGCAAGCTATGGGGAGGAGTAATTGTTTTTTTCCCTTAGCTGAAGGAGGCTCGCTATGACAAAGTCTAGAGACATAGCTTGGTTCATGGGCTTAGTTCCTGTTTAGACTTTTGCCCAGATCCTAAAATAAGCTTCTGTCATTTCTGTAACTTCAGGCAGAAGACACTCCCATGTCAAAAGCTCCACAGCCAACTCTGTACATTTTGTTGCCTGACCAACATTTGTACTAGAATCCAAACTGGTGGTCAAGTTAATAGGGGTAGATTCTTGGTGATGGATTTTCACCCAGTGTTCTTCTGTGAAAGGTGATTTACAAAATAATGAAATGCTCGTACAGGGTTGTTGGGGTAAATGCAACAATGGCCGTTGGAGATCGGGGAATTTGACAAGCAAATGCAGAGGAAGAGCATTCAATGGCGCAAGGGAAAGAGCTGGAACTTGGCATTAGGATGGATGGCATCTTGGAGGCACAAACCCCAGCAATGGGCAGAATGTTCTCCCACTCTTGTCCATTTCAGAACTCTTATTGTTATACATTTCTTTGTCTCCAAAATACCAATAGATGTAATAAAGTGGAGAGAGAATAAAACAGTAACTGGGCGCAACACACCGGTACATTTCCCACTACTTTTCCAATTCAGACTCTCGTGCCTCTTGGAAGAGTTTTGCCCCAACACAAACAAGGATAGAGTCAAAGTCTTTCTAAGTCTCATTGATTTGCGAAGCAGATCAAACATGCCTTTAGTTCCAGCACGCCTGCCTGGAAACCACTTCCAGGGTTAATTCCAGGAAGCCTCCACTTACTTTGCCCTGGCTCAAAACACACGACAATTGTATAGCACCTTTCATGTCAGGAGGACATCCCAAAAAGGTATCCAAGGAAATGGCATGGGTGTACACAAACCATGCACATGACCAAAGGCGATTATATATAGATTCCCTATGTACGCAGGCACACACATTAACAAGCAGGCACACGATGCAAACACAGAGGGTAATACAGCAGGAATCAAAATACAAACGGTGCACAAATAAATCACATGTACGTCATGAGCTGTTTCTATAAGCGAATATTTATTTTTCTCAGCTGAACTCCTTTTTCCTTCAGTGGCTCCACAGGCTCTCACCACCTTCTGTAATTCGCCCAAGTGCCCATTATTTAGACATTTCTAGTTGAGTGTTGGAACGACCTTCAACCTGAGGCAGCACAGCTGAGACTGAACCAATTAATTCCTAACATCAGTAAATCTGGCTTTGTTCTTCCCCAGCCCTAATGGCAGGACATTCAGGTTAATTGCAGTGCCCTCCCTGATGCCAGTTGGATATCAGCTCACTTTGGCTCGCACTCGATTCGAACCTGGAATTTTCTCGTGTCTGTGGTTTAGCAATTGGCAGATATTTAAGTGTCAGACCAAAACCAGGCACATACACGAGCGAGAGGCATATATTGAAGCAGTGATGACAGGGGGAACATGCACACATAAGCTACATTCATACCTATACATACAAGCAGCACATGAAATACCAAAATACCAGGGCATCCTGTGGGAGGGGAGGAGAAAGAATAATATGCATAAAAGAGACTCTTTCTCACATAAAAAGATAAGCAGACAAGTCACTTAAACCACAAGTGTTGCATGCACATATTAAAAAAAAGCCTGCGTGCATAGCGAAATACAGAATGCTAAACAAAATCTGCTGTGCGCAATTGGCTGCCGCGTTTTGCGCACAAAACACAGTCAATTCACTTTACAGGATATTCTGTGAAGAGCTTTGAGGCGTCTCAAAAACGTGATAAGGCGCTGTATCAAATGAAAGGATTATTATTAATACGTGAGCAGGTTAGGTCGTCCTCACACACAACGCATTAGATGCAGAAATGAAGAAATGGGATAAAGTGTAAAAGACAAGTGCAATACATTCTCACCCAGAGTGGGAAGGAGCCAAATGCAGCTCTCAGGTCCATCCATACAAGACTCAAGCGCACGCTCACACAGACACACACACACAGACAGACACACACACACACACACAAGTATCATGCGAAAACAAACATAGACATACATAATTAGAATTTACACATTAGTAAATACATAAGACAGACAATCTTGAACGAACTAAATATGAAAGCACATGCACACATCGCGACTACTTGTGTAGAGTTTGTTACAAACAAAGCCAGAGATGGACACGCAAAGCTCATGTATATTCTACATGTACCTGATGTTCCCAGGCAAGCAAAGCACAGGCAGGAGTTGCAACAGAAGCACATAGGGAAAGCAAACATAAACAAGACATTTATGTGCACACGGACGTAGAAATACAAGGCATATGGGACATTAACAAGGAAAGCTCATGCTCGAAGCACATCGAGGAGACGCAAAAACAAGCAGAAGCACAAAATGAGTTACATACATACAGGGCACAAGATGGTGAGCATATACACCAATGGTGTGTAGATATACACAATCATGCAGACAAACCATCTCTTCATGAGAAATTCAAGGGGACGTGCCTTACACATACACAAGGTACACATGTAAGAGATGTACACGTACAGACAGCACATGCCTGACACACAAGGCACTTGGCAAACACTCACAACATTGCACTCAATGCACCACACTATACAATAAGTTCTTTGACACCATGGTTTTGAACAGTATATAATTACACATGGCGTATATACAATTGCCGTTAGCCTTCAGATACCAATCATTAAGATACACTCAAGTATAATAGATTCCACAATTAGTACTGTGTAAAATAGTGCTTTCCTTTGATGCCTGTGAATTCATGTCTAACCGCTCGCACACAAAAACCAGTTATTTAAGGATAAATTTTCAACTTAAAATTGTTTCAATAAATGCCCTTTTTTATCCCCTTAATAGCATTTAATGTGTTACCTTTGAAAAAAATATTCTAGGGATGAATTTTGTGCAGATCAAGGTGAGGCATTCCATATGGAAGGACACATTACCGCCTAGTTTTGACACCAGGGTCGGTATTCACGCCATTCACCTTCAGGGTAGGTATCGTACAGGTTAGATCATGTGCAAACCTTCTCGTACACAGCAGACACACGCCACAAGCCTCTGAACAGCACCTCCTCTTCCACTTGAGTGCAGTTTCCATTTTCCACACCGACCAAACTGGTTGGAGCACGACTGCGAATTCAATCTCAATTGGTTGTAAATGACCTGCAGTTTTGTGGCATGGACATGTGCTCAACAGGATCAGAATTTAGAGACAGCCAATGTAATGTCATTTGCAGCTTTCACCAGTAGCCGAGGGGAGACTCATCTCATCAGTGTGGACTAAATTTCAAATCAGGTTAAACAGATGAAGGCTCACCATAACACAAGATGCCATCCTGCCCCCCCCCCCCCCCCACCCTCGACAGAATCCTGTTTTAAGTGTAACGGCCCCTGGTGTAAAGTGCTCTGTGGCACGTGCATTTACTGTGCTGGAGGAAACTACTTTTATGCTGGCTTTAGTGACGGAACAAGTAAAACTGAAGTAAAATGGATTGCTTATTAAAACACTTCATTGTCCTTACCTTATTTCACATTTTATTTTGTTAATTTGTTTTTCCTATTTTTTCCCCCCCTCTAATTATGGTACAAGGTGAGCATGTTCCTACAGAAGAATAAATTGTTACCAGATCCCTGGACCCCAATTTTGGTATCAATAGCAGAGCAGTTAATGGATGGTAAAAACTCAGAAAAATCGACAAAATTTATTCCGTTCATAAAAATCTTTAGCCCAAATAGCAAACCCACCCTCTCTCCCTCTGTGAAGGTTAGCACTTTACGAGATTGCTTATACACAAACTATGAATCAGGTAAATGTCAATGGGAATCTAATACAGCAGACAGCAGTGCAAAATGAAGGGAGGAAGCGGCCACCAATGTGCCAACGTTAATTAGTCAGCAACTCGATTTAAGAAGGTTGTTTCATCAAAAAAAGGAAGAAAAGAAATGTGCTCTAAGTTCATGATTTCTTGGCATTTGAATGAATGTATTAGGCAAAGCGATGATGGAAGGGGAGAGACGTTAAAGCCGATAGCTGTACATTATGCACAGGTTTAAACTCAGGCGACACAGTCACTCGTTCTTCCTCTGTATATTCATACAGATAGCTGGAATGGGACAATCGAATCCAAATCGTGGCACTGAGCTCAGTCAGCACGGACATTTTCATTGGAAATCGGAAACTGAAATCTAGGAACAACAGCACTGAGCCAGCTAAATCCCACATTCTGTTTCAAACATCAACCTCCCAGGAAAAGGTTCTTTTTTGACTTCATGATACACATTCCAAGTGAAAGGGACTGTCCATTTCAAAGAAGTCCATTTTGTGCCTTGTTAGCAACACTTTTTCTTCTTTTTACTGTTTTTTGTAAGTTTGATGACGTCGTTTTGCTGCTGTTGCTGCTGTTTGGCTAAGTTCTCTTTCTTGGCTCTGAGGACCAGCTCCGTGATGCAGTTGAACATCTGACGAGACAAAAAAAAAAAGACGATAATACAACATTGCAAAATGCAGCACCAAAATGGTCCTGCTTAATTTCTTCATCAAATTGGATCAGTTAAGGAAAGCTTACCTCTTCCACATTGAGGTTCTCTTTTGCACTGGTTTCAAACAGCTGAATCCCCATCTGCTCTGCAAATTTCTGTGCATCGTTGGTCTCTACCACCTTGCGTGCTGGGTCATCATTCTTATTGCCAACTGAAAAAAAAGTATAATAATGATACCTGCATTTGATATAGCACCTTATCACGTCTTCTAGACGTCTCAAAGCGCTTCACAGAATATACTGTAAAGTGAATTGACTATATTTTGTGACCAAACGTCAATTAGACACAGCAATGTCCCACAAACAGTCGTGGATTGAGTGACCAAATTATTATAATATTTTTATTAAAAGGGATAATTATCCCCAGAAAAGAGATTTACCAATCGACTAACAACTGGGTCCCTACTCTCTGCTAGGTAAACAGAGGGCTGTGGAGTAAGGAAACTTGATCAACATTTCGCCCTACCCGCTTGCGAGCCGAGAGCTCTAACCACTAAGCTGCAGGACTCCTGTATGCACATTTTGTTAAATGGATGTAGAATGAATTGCTTTTAATGTGAAAGACAGTTCACGCTTTCCCCTAAACCCAAAATGATTGTTTTGGGAACGAAAAAAAAGCTCCATTGGAAACTCCAGAAGTAGAGCATTGATCCCTCAGCTGCTCAACAACAACAAGATTCCATTTATAAAGCGCCTTTCACGTCAGGAGGACGTCCCAAAGCGCTGCACAGTTGGGTCATGACCCGAGCAGGGGGGAAATGGTCAGGGTGAGGGGAGGGAAGGGAGGGAGCAAGGAGGGGGGAAATGGTCAGGGTGAGGGGAGGGAAGGGAGGGAGCGAGGAGGGGGAAGAGAGTCGAGAGGGGAGCTGAAGGCACGGTCAAAGAGAAAGGTTTTGAGACCGGCCTTGAAGGAGGAAAGGGAGGAAGCGGCGAAGGCACTGGGGATGGAGTTCCAGAGCCTGGGGGCTGAGAGGCTGAAGGCCCGACCACCGATGGTAGGGCGGTTGGGGCGGGGGACGTGGAGCAGACCAGAGCCAGAGGAACGGAGGGTACAGGCGGGTAGGTGGGGGGATAGTAGGTTGGAGAGGTAGGAGGGAGCGAGGCCGTGAATGGCCTTGTAGGTGAGGATGAGGATCTTGAAATCAATCCTCTGGGGGATGGGGAGCCAGTGGAGGCGAGCGAGGGTGGGAGTGATGTGGTCGCGGTGTCTGGCGCGGGACAGTACACGAGCTGCAGAGTTCTGAATGACCTGCAGTGTGGAGGGAGGGCCGGGAAGGCCGGCGAGGAGAGAGTTCCCATAGTCCAGCCTTGAGGTGACAAAGGGGTGGACCAGGGTTTCAGCCGCGTGAGGGGTGAGGTAGTGCCGTAGTCTGGCGATGTTCCGGAGGTGATGGAAGGCGGTGCCAGTTGTGGTGCAGATGTGAGGGAGAAAGGACAGCTCAGGGTCGAACAAAACGCCGAGGTTCCTGACTGGCTTTGAGAGGTGGAGAGTGCGGCCTTGGATGCTGATGGTGTCAGCGCCTGAGGTGCGGAGGCGCTGACGTGAGCCAATCAGGAGGGCCTCGGTTTTTCGCACGTTGAGCTGAAGAAAGTGCTCCTTGGTGAAGGAGTCACAAGTGGATGAGTGACACACTTACAGTGAGGATAGGGAATGGTAAGTAAAAACCTCAGGGAACCTGTACAAATAATTCTCAGACGAGCACAATAATAATGTTACACTCACCAAGTATCCGGCACACATCATCACAATTCTGGTTTATTTCATGTAGCCATCGCTTCACGTTTACAAAGGATTCTGCGCTGGTCACATCATATACTACTATGACCCCATGAGTGCCTCTGTAATACCTGTCAAAATAGAAGTACACAATTGGTTTGACTATTTTAGCTTTTCATCCACATCTTGAAATCCATAAATTATATATTCACACAGGAACACACCCTCCCCAAAGAAAAACTGTTGGTGACTTTTTTGCTTTGTAATAATGCCCTTCAATGCTATTTTTTGCACAAAGCCTTTTTATCATTAGAAATTGTATTACTGTGTATATGATAGAAGAGTGGGGGAGATGATCCAACTCTCTATATACGATCCCTAAGTGGGTATATTGAGCCCATCCCAGCCGACTTCACATTTCTACACAAACTCGCCTCTAAAAGTAGACACAGAACGCAAATGCACACAACACGTCAGAAACTACACCCCCCATCAGACAATATCCATGTGTAAATGGCATACATATGTGGAACTTGGTTTGGTTAGGATACTCATTAAGCACGGTGATGGGTTTCCACATGAATCAGACACCCGATTGACCAAAAAAAACACAGTACCCATAGCTTCCTATTTCAGCAGTTTACTACTTCCTCTTATCCAGAATTTCAGTTTCATTAACAGCCCTGAATACTGAATACTTGATCAGAAAATACAGTCACACCACTTTACAGTATATCTTGTAAAGCTCGAAATAAGACACTGTATCAAATGCAAGGATTATTATATTCACTACATCACCAATATCCACTAATTAATTACCTCTCTAATGGATTTCAATAAATTACAATTATCTGCTGATACATCTGTATCCCAGCAAAAAAAAAGCCTTCAGGGCGAGTAAAGTGAAACTAATTGCCTCCGTGTTCATTATATACCGATGAACATGCTCCCTTTATAACACACACTAGCAAGGCCTAGGATCATACATTGAAACATTACAATTTAATGAGTTACAAAGCCATAGCTTTTAAACTTCAAAACTAATTTTAAACCTTTCAGATTAAATTGTGAGACTTTGTAGAATTACTGTACTCTCTCACCATCATGGGAAATGAAGGTTTTGTTTTTTTTGAGGGGGGCAGCAGCCAGGTATCTATACACATGCAGAAACCCATCACTATGCTTAAGTGTATCCAAACCAGAGTTCCATACATCCCACCTCTGCATGGGAATTAGAGATATTTGTTGAAATGTGTACTCTCTCCCTGGAGGGAAGCATCCTGCTTACCTAATCCCGGAAAATATTACGCGCAGGTGGGGATGAGCCAAAACTTGGGAAAACTTGGAGTACTCCTGGAGTCTAACCAGCTAAAACCGTATAGCTTGCTATTTAGACGCCTGGCAAGCTTTTCCGTTGCTTATCCAGCTAGGGCTTCAGCTTGTTGGGTTAACGGAGCTGAGTGGAATAGTCTCTGTCCTCAAAGACTGCTGGTGAGCACGGCTGTGCTCTCATCAGCAGTGCCTGGAATACTGCCAATTCAGCTATGAGGAGATCCCCTAAGGAGGATAGTCACATGTAAGGATTAATTCAGTTGCTTGTTGAAGAATACAGTATAAACTGGAGGGTGTGTGAAACAGACACTTGAACATTTTACTGCAGGTATTCAACAAGATAGCAGTTTTACTAATTAAAATTCAGCCAATTGCAACAATAAAATTACATTTATACAGCGCCTTTCACGTTGGGCGGACGTCCCAAAGCCCTGGACAATCAGTGTTTTAGACCCGAGATCGTGGTCGGGATCGGGGAGGGTGACAGCAAGGGAGGGTGGGGGAAATGAGGGTGACCGAAGGCACAATCGAAGAGGAGGGTTTTGAGACAGGTCTTGAAGGAGGCAAGGGAGGGGGCGAGGTGGAGGGACTGCGGGATGGAGTTCCAGAGGGTGGGGGCAGAATGTCTGAAGGCCCGCCCGCCCGCCAATGGTGGGTCAGGCAAGGTGGGGATATGAAGCAGGCCGGAGCCTGCTAAGCGGAGGGAGCAGCCAGGTTGGTAGGAGGAAGCAAGGCCGTGGAGGGCTTTGAAGACGAGGACCAAGATTTTGAACTATATCCTCTGGGTGATGGGGAGCCAGTGGAGGATGGGGGTTGATAGGGTCGCGGAGCCTGGTGCGGGAGAGGACACGGGCTGCAGAGTTCTGGATGATCTGCAGCCTATGGAGGGAGGAGTTGGGGAGGCCGACAAGCAGGGAGTGTGTATAGTCAAGCCTCGACGTTATGAATGTGCATTTGAGGGTCTTGGCGGCCTGTGGTGTGGGACAGTGGCGGAGCCGGGCCATGTTGTGGAAGTGGGAGAAGGCAAAGCGGGACCAGGCATGGAAGTGGGGTACAGAGCATAGTTGAGGGTCAAACAAAACGCTAAGGTTTCGCCAAGGCAATTGCAAGATTAAAATGCTGGAAAGGATAGAATATGTGCAGATAGATCAGTGCTATTTAGGGTGGTTAATTTCATAATAATTTCCTAGGTAAACGTTTAGGTTTCTATATGATTTAACATTTCTTGTGTCAAAGGCTGGATTTTAGGGCAGCACTGTACAAGTTAAACGGGCAAAAGCCTTCTGTTTTACAACTGGTTGTCCAACAAAGTCCAGTTGCACAACCTTTCTAATACCTTAAATGAGTAAACTGAGTGGCCAATGGAAAAACAGGCAGCGTGATAACAGAAAACCATGCCCTAAAATGCACTGATAACAACAACTTGCAGTTACATAGCGCCCCCCTCGCAGGGTAGCGTCACAGAGCGCTCAACAGTGGCGGAGCCTGACTCCGAGCCGGGTTGCGAGGGGAGGTGGCCGTAAGCACGGTTGAAGAGGAAGGTTTTCAGTTGGGACTTGACAAAGGGGACACACTACCTTGGTTACTGCACTGAGAGCATCCCAGCTCTCATTGAGGACAGTTTCATCGGCATCATTTAAGAGTCTGATTAAACCAGCCATCAGATTCCTAACGTGGGGGAAATAGTCAGCCTTGGACTTGGAGCAGCACAGCCAAAGAGGAAAGTTTTCATGCGGAACTTGAAAGAGGGAGAGAGGGGACAAGAAGGAGGGATTGAGGGAGAGTGTTCCACAGTTTTGGGGCATAATGGCTGATGGTGAGGACCAGCATTTTGAACTATATCCTCTATGTGATGGTGGGGCGAAGGGTGCGAAGGACGAGCAAGAGGCCGGTGTCAGTCCAATGAAGGCGCCGGGTGGTGGATTGGAGAGGGAGGAGGTCAGAGAGGGAGGGAGGGAGGTGCCAGGGAGTGAATGGATTTGAACACAAGAGTGAGGATCTTGATCTTGAAGTCAATCCATTCAGTAATGCAGAGTCAGCGGAGCCTGTGGCCAGAAGTGGTGAGATATGGGTACGGAGTTTGGTTCGGGTCAGTATGTGGGCGGCAGAGTCTGACTGAGCTGATCTTGTGAATGGTGGAGCTGGGAAGACCGGCGAGGAGTGTGTTGGAGTAATCCAAGCGGGAGGTGACAAACGCATGCACAAGGGTTTGGGCTGCATTTGGGGTAAGGTACGGTCGGAGGCGGGCAATGTGGCGGAGGTGGAAGAAAGCGACCAGATGTGGGGGGGGTGAAGGACAATTAGCAGTTGAACCGAACGCCTACGTTGCGTCCTAGTTCGGTGAGTTTGAGGGAGAGCCCAGGAAGGTTGAGGAGTTTAGATATACAGGAGTGAAGACGTTGACGGGAGCCAAGGAATACGGCTTCCGTCTTGTCCATTTTCAGCTGATAAAGACAAAAGCATTTGGTGTCAGGGTAACTAGTAACTGTATGGTGCAACTCAGCAGGTCAGAGGCACACTGAAAAGTGAAACTACATTCAGTTATTTGTACATAAATAAAATGGAGGGTCAAATCACCAGAGTGAAAGAACTTCCCCTTGTGCTCACAAACTGCTCGTATCCATGATACCAGCACCTCCTGGATGTAGAAGTGGTTTGGTGGCCCCTCCTTCCCCAACTGGAGCCTTCAACAACTTGATTGATACATCTGATTTATGGTTAAATTTGTGCATTAATCTGCTGTGGCTAGGATGGGTTCAATTGTAAATGAGGGGCTGGGAACATGAACTCATTATAAACCAGTAATAGAAGTACTTGCATATGATTTACATCTCGTCACATCTTCTAAATGTCTCAAAGCGTTTCACTGGATTACTGTAAAATGTAATGACTGTATAGCTTGTGGGCAAAATGTGACCACCAATTGCGCACAGCAGTGTCCCACAAACGGTTGTGGATTGAGTAACCATTTTTTTATATATAAAGGTATTATTACACCCGGAAAAGTGTTCCATCAATCGACAAACAACCAGGTTTCTACTTACTCCACATGTCTCTGTTTACCCAGCAGTAAGGAAACTTGCCCAATATTTTGCACAGCCGGGAATCAAACGCAGGTCCTCTCGCTTGTGAGGTGAGTGTTCTAACCACTAAGCTACAGGACTCCTCAAGTGGAGCAATACGCTAAATATTCCCCACCCACCGAAAAAAATATCACTGAGGAAAGATAAGGCAACGGGCTTATGAGAGACTGTGGGCGGTAATGACTATAATTAGACAGAAGTGTCAAATGTCTCTGTGTACATCTTTTAAAAAGCACCAAACAGACAATTGAAAAGCCAAACCGGATAACTAACCAAGTATGAAGTGACACCTCGAATAAATTCAGAGGAATTGTGTGTTTTTTTTTCTATAAATTTCAATCGAGCCTTGTAAGGTGGTTTCCACTCTGACAAAAGAAACCGATCTCATTAAGGAAACCACAATGTCTTGCTGTTCAAATATATACATCACGAATCTCCAATCTGACAATTAGCAATCCTTACAGCAAAACTAATATCTGTCCTTGCACCCGACCACATGCACAACTGTGCACAACAGCATATAAATATGTTAGCATTCAGTGTTTATCCTATTTCAACCCTATCTGTGGATAGCATGGCTGGCAATGCAGTTATGGCAGACGTCCATTGGAGAACAGAACTGTGCTGTCGACACACAGGCACCACCAGAAACCTCATTAGTCGGTTCATTTGAGGATCCCAATACTAAAGGGAGGTGAGACTATGAATATACACAG